CTCTGCCCCCTTCCCTTCCCCTTTTACCTCTGCGATTTTAGGCCTGTTCTTGTGATTCCCGGGGTTGCTTCGTGATCAGCTTGCTACATAGCTGGTTAACGGCGCCCTTAGGCCGCTACTTTCTCTATAAGGGTTTATGGTTTTTTTAGAGAAAATCGGATACCCCGATCTCTGCATCAGTGATGCATATAGATGGTGGCATATGGTTTGTCAGTAGGTCCAGGGCCCCATTGCATTAGTTCAGCGATGATAATGCTGGAATAAGTCGTTTCATTTCCTGGAGCAAATACTGATTGCGTGTTGCAAGGCTCGATTTGACTCATCTGGTGCATTTGTGCCAAAATTGCAGTGTGTAGAGGATGTTGTTTCTAATGTGTATCCTGCTTATACTGAAGGAGTACAAATGTTTTGTTTTTTGTACTCCATCCGTCTCAAAATAAGTGTCTCAACTTTGTATTAACTTTAGTACAAAGTTGTACTAAGGTTGAAACACTTATTTTGGGACGGAGGTAGTACTAGTTAACATGTTCACCAGGGTGCTAGGCAGGCGGGTGGCAAGCGCCTAACGGCTATTCAAGATTGCACATATCTAGTCATCACATCGGTGCGTTGGTGCTATCTAGATGAAAAAATCACCATGTTTATCCTTTTCTTTTAGCTTTTTGAGGATTAAACTGTGTATATGATAGCAGAGAAGGCTTCATAGATTTTAATGGCTTTTAGCTTAGTGTTTGCTTGAAGGGGAGCCTTGGCGCAGTGGTAAAGCTGCTGCCTTGTGACCATGAGGTCATTGGTTCAAGTCCTGGAAACAGCCTCTTACAGAAATGTAGGGAAAGGCTGCGTACTATAGACCCAAAGTGGTCGGACCCTTCCCTGGACCCTGCGCAAGCGGGAGCTACATGCACCAGGTTGCCCTTTTTTTTTAGCTTAGTGTTTGCTTAGGTTTTTGGCACATACTAACACAGTCGTATACAGCTATGTTTTATCATAGGAATAATTATTGCTGTAATGTGTTTTGTGTGTTCATTTATGTGATTTGTAGCCTAGTGAATTGCACTCACTATCAAGTTATAGGTTGATACCTTATTTCATATATTGGGTGTTGCAGCCGAAAAGACCTTGTGGTTTGAGGTCAGATTGTTGGTTTGCAGTTTGTTGAACTTCTTGTACTTGGAATACGTCTTTTAGTTTGGCAAACTGTTTGATCTTGATAAGGCACATCCTATCATTTATTTACCAACTGATCATTGTCATGATATGCCAGCTAACATGCTTTCATTTCTAGATCATCACTTAATTATGCTCATGGTGTTCTTGCCCGGTAGATATTTTATAGTAGTTGTTTATAAATCACCATTCCCACTCCATCTGTTTGTAAGGATATTGTATTGTTGATAATTTTCTTGTTTTAAATTGTTTATCTCTTTGTATGTATGACCAATAGAACTGAACACTGTTGTAGCCTGGATGAGTGTTTTAGTTTTTATCACGTGTCAGAACATGATGATGATTCTTATATAATGAAAGGTTGCAAAAATTAATAAAGATAACATTTGGAGAGAATTTACAATGCCTAAGGAAATGGTAGTTGTTTGTTTAAAACTGCAAAAGATTTGTTTTCCTTGATGCATCAACCAAAGTTCAGCCATTCTCATTCAGCAGAAGAAAAAAACTTGACCCTATGAAGGCCTGAACTATTGATCCTTTGTATGCTCAGTGTGATTAGGGTCAGTGGTTATTATTTGTGCTTGGTTCTTAGTCATGTGTCTTATTTCAATTTAAGACAACAGTAATTGTGATGTTTCCTAGATGGCTTCGCAAAGCCGAGAGGCCAAAAAGTAGGAGAAAGTGGCCTTTAGCTATATGCAGTTTCCCTGGTGGATCTACCTGTGATACAGATTGCTTATTTTTAAAGTTAAATTCGAATTACACTTTCAGTTTAACTAGTTAACTTCCATGTTTCCTTGTGTAGAGTGCAAGACCAAGCGCTCTCGAGCGAGTATAAGGCCAGCACCGAAGGTGCCTGGGAGCTCAAATCGCATTGCAAGTAGCAGAAGGGACAAGGAAAATCAAGACAAACTGGATACCCGTATCTTCGATT